GGGGGGGGGGGGGGGGGGGGGTTTGTGCCTTCTCGTTCTCGTTAGTGTCTGTGATAACGACATTATGATGATGACTATTGATTCCTTTGACCTTGTTTTGACTTTCTTTTATTTATGTTATCTTATATGATGATGACTATTGATCCCTTTGATCCTTTTTTAAACTTGTATTGACTTTCTTTTATTTATGATATCATTGGTAAACATCGAAAAGAACTATAACTTAAAAAGGAGATGGGAGAGTTACAATTTTCTTCCATGTAACCTTGACTCGCTAAGACCATGATTGTCACAAATTTTAAAGAGGTTTCTAAACCAAAATTAGTGTTGGGCCTCACCGAAAATGACAAAAAACCGGTGATGGAAGCCGCGAGATAAGAATCACTCGAGGAGGGTTTTTTGCATTGTTTGCAGATCTTATCTGCACATGGTGGTCTGCTATTAATTCAATTTTAATTTTCTAAAACTTTTTTTAATCAGATAAAAAGCAATTTTTTTTTTAGGAAACCAACAAATGATAATTGCGTTAATCATGTGTTAATCATTTTCTAACAAAATTCTGCAAAAAACAGTTAACAAAGCAACAGTTTAAAATCAAAAAGCTACAAAACAAGTTTGTTTCTTAAATTCCTATTGTTTTCGCTATGTTTTATACTGTCTATTTAGCTTTCTAAGTCAATTTCTAGTTTAAATTAATAAAATATAGTTATTTTTGACAAAAATAATATCTTTTTTTTTCACAACAATGAACAAAAGTCAAGCTTAAAACCTACTCTATAGAACACGTGCAAGAAACTTTCGGTAAGGATTAGAAAACCAACATAGTACACACTACACAGCTATAGGAGATTCTCAAGCACGAAACAAGTATATCTGCCATAGTATTATTATTAAAAAAATAATATTATTACTACATAATTCACTTTTTATTATATTTGATCGTAGCTACATAGCGGTCACGGAAAACTTGACAAGACGTGCGTTGCGATAATTATTGCCCAAGATGTAATAAACCAGATGAATCTGCTAACCAAGTTATTTTCGAATGTGTACTGGTTTTGCAGACATCCTCGATGCCCTCATGTCCAAAAACCTTTCTAACAACGAGTATATTCACAAACATGGACTACCTGTTTTGAAGAAAGAATGAGATTGAAGACTCTGATCTAGACAATGACCCGTATCCATGGATTATTTGGTTCCTATGGAATCACAAAATAATAAAATATTCAGAGGCATCTCAAGAGATCCACTTGAATTGGTGAGACATGCAGAAAGTGAATGCAATGCTTGGTTTGAAGCAAATGCAAAAACCACAGAAATAGACCAGACAGAACACATGGATATGCAAGCCCTAAGCTTGCAAGACATTTGTTTAGTAGATGGATCATGGACAGCGGAAACAGAACGTAGTGGATATGGATGGGTTAGGAAAGGAACAACTCTTAGGCTTAAGGAATAAAGAAAACCGTATGTCTTCTTTGCACACAGAATTGGAAGCACTAATGTGGGCGATGGAGAGTATGATTCAGAATAGTACCTGTCAACACTTTGGGACGGACTGCAGGAATATTATGGTAATGCTTCAGAAACCGAAGGATTGACCAAGCTACTCGATAGAACTAGGAGAGTTTGCTTTACTAAAGGACAGACTTCCAGACTTTAAAATCTCATACATACCAAAAGAACACAAAATCGGACTGCAGATGATTTAGCTAGGATTTCTCGTAATTTTTATCATCAATTGTATTTTGTTGGTTGTTCTATTCCGGTCTGGATCCTCAGACCACCTCAAACTTGAATAATAGAATAGCCTTTTGATGTTAAAAAATAAATAAATTTGTATTTAGTATCTAAACTATTAAAACTGAAGTACATTTATTACTTAACCCTGATTTTTACACAATAATTACTATAGAATGCCACTCAATTTATACACTGTCGTTTAACAGAATAATACAACCACCGAACTTAACATTGATAGACGTTAACCGGCGTAAGTAATTGATAGACAACCAACTTCCTGCAAAACCGACAGAACACAAGTATATTAAATCGCTATAGATAATATTTGTATTTAAAGATATCATAGTTAGTATCTTTAAAATATATTGTGCACTAAATCAGAAAGGTAATTCACCTATTTCTACTCTAACTAATACACTATCACTTGGGTAACATAATCTTATTATTCTGTTTTCAAAACTTACATATCACGTATGGCTAATCTATATTATATAAATTATGATGACTAAATATTAAATAAAATTAATTAATTCAAAAACGTATATCACTTTTCTATTCCTTATAATCACAACTACAAAATACTTTTATAGAATACTAGGTGTTTTGTCCGCTCATGCGGGCGTAAAATATTTTATAACTATTTATTAATACATATATTACTAATTAAAACTATAATAATAACTTATTGTTTATGTTTTTTTTTTGTAATTATTATGTATTATAAATATTTTGAAATTTTATTTGGTACATTATATTTGTTATTAATAAATAAATCTTAGAAATCACTCATTATTTTTAAAATTATAATTATATAAAAATTAAGAATTTTACTTGATTAATAATTTTTATGTGTTTATTTTTGATTATTTAAATTTAATTTAAAATATATTATTTAGATAACAACACAATGTATATAGTAATTATTTTTTATTTAAATATTTTTTATATATTGAATTATTTTTATTATTATTAATTTTAATAACTCATTTAATCAAATAATTATTAATTCTTTTGTATTTTAAATTTTTATATTAAAAGATAGTTTAAGATAACAACACAATATATAGATGAATTATCTTTTTATTTTAAAATATATTTTTTATTTTGGATAATTCTTATGATTATTACTAATTTTAGTTACTTATTTAATTAATAGAATTAAAATTCGTATTTTATTTTGTATGTAATTTATATTTTTTCATTAATGCTATAAATGATATTAACCACTATTAATTTTATCGTGGGAGTTCCGTTGCGAAAAATCACTTCGCAAATAATAGTATAGATCTTATTTAACCTACCTATTCCAAAGCAAACTATATATACACCATCCCTGATGCGTGAAACCATATAATTTTACATTCACAAAAGTGTCTAAGATTACTATTTTTACTTCTCTCAACTAATCCAAATCTTTCAAAAAATCATGGCGAGTTCAAGTTAAGTAATTGCATTCATGGAAACAAAACACATCTTTTGAAGGTGATATCTTCAAGATGGTTTTAGCCAATCAATTGGTATGTTTTCTTTGTAAACATTGTCTAAACTTTAATTCACTACATTCGTTGACCATTATATCTAATATAATCCGTTTTCACTTAACTATAAGGTAATGAGATTCATGCTTCTTACAAAAGAAGTTGCATGCACTGGGTTCAACGAGGCCTACCTATAGGAAAATGGGCAGTTTTTTTTTTTTAATTTAGAGGAACCAAAATTGTTTTTCTTTTTATCAAACATTCATTTAAATAATGTTCTTTGTCTTAATTTAATTCTTAATTTCTAAACTATTTCTTAGTTTTGAATTATTAACCTTGGTATTCTACATATATATATAGAGTTTATAGAGTTATGGAGGAGAAACTCTTGAATCTTTTAGAGATATTTCTTATTAGTTTATAGATTTTTTCTGTATATATATAATTTTTTCTCATTCAAAAATCAGAGAGAAATACTAAAAACTAAATGGCGACCAGCCAAACTGTTTTTTTTTTTCAAAATCTTATTAAAATTGTAATAATCTTTCTTATAACTAACTTCATAATTGTAAGCATTGCAAAATGCGAACAAAATATATTTTACATAAAAGTGTACATACGAAATCACGAATAACTTTTTTTCCTGATCAAACTAAGTCACAAATAAATAAATTATGTAATTTTAAACAAAATTCATTAACTTCTTCCATATAATATGATTTTGTATCTTAATAATATACACTAAAACCAAAATATTTAATTGTATATCAAACATTTCTATTAACCTAAAAACATCACTTTTGCAGTATTTTGATCGTATATCAAACATTTTTATGTTCTGTCTAAATAATGTATTTATTTTAAAAATATCAATATTAACATTTGAATTTTATATTAAACTTTAGATCTCATTAAATTGTTGTGTTTCCATAAAACTCACAAGTATACTTAAAACCCTAATATTTTAAAACTTTAATTTTTACTTTACCAAATAAAATGAATAAAAGCACAATTAAAAGAAAAGACACAATCTCATAGTTTATGAATTGACACTAAACACATTAACAAGAGACACCAATGTCAACATTCAATAATGTATGAATATATAATAAGAACATAAATAGTTATGTTCATCATATTGTTAAAAGTGAAAAACATAAAACTATGAAAAATAAACACCCGCGCGGGCGCGCGGGTCAAAGGCTAGTTACACTTATTTCTCGTTTTTTCTTCTTAATTAATGATTTTGTTTAACTTTCTGTAAAGATTATGTAATTTTGTTTTGACATCAATGAAATGAAGTTAAAAACAACTATTATCACTAGAGATAAGGTATAACTTTGGGTAAAAAATAAAATAAAAAGAGAGTAAAGTTCAAGGGCCTACATATATAAATTAACAAAACACTAGTGAACAGATTGGTCCTAAAATTCTGGTGACCCTAAAATCTAGGGCTTCTCTGTTTCTTCCAACCATGGCTTCTGCATTAAGCAACAAGACAAACGCCGAGACGGCGGAAACCACTCTCACAAAAGATCCCACAGAGACAACCACTGAAGGAACTTTGAACAAGAAAACACCCGACTCTAATCCAGAGGAGGAGGATGATGATTCCTTAGACGACAAGGAAGAGTCCAACGAAAGCGAGGTAGAAGAAGAAGAAGACGGAGATAGCATTGTGGACGACGGAGACTCAACAGATGATCAACCGGAATGGGGAGTGGATAGCTACGATGAAAGCGAGTATTGGTCGCCTGATGAAGACTCTTATTCTGATGAAGAAAATGAACGTAGATCCCGTCTTTATCAACGCAACCTCCACTTAAGCCACGTTCGTATATTCATTCATATTCTTGATTTAAAATTCAGCTTTTAATGATGATAAAAACGACTCAAAAATTATATAAAATTAATCTAGGGTTTTCTGGTGGAAAAAGGGATTCGCCCACTTACTTTATGGAGTGGTTCAATCGTTCTTCAATCTTTGGACAGTGAAGATTCTCCTGTAAATGGAAGGACTCAGCTTCAATACGCACAAGACATGGCCAAACTTTTTCTTCGCAAATACAATGCCTTAAACGTAATTTTTGTTTGGCCAACATTAGTTTCAAAAAAAAAAAAAAACATTAGTTTCAAATAATATTTATTTTTATTATTTTTTATTTTTTTATTTATTTTTTATTTTTTATTTTTATTTTTTATTTTTTATGTTGGTATGGTTTTGTTTTCAGGAAAAGGATGTGAGATTGGATCATGTTGTGAGACGGAAGAGTCTTTTACTGGTACCGAGTCTTTTACTGGTACATGGGTTTCGTACATCACTTTCATGGCGAAAGAGTCTGAGGAGGAAGACGCTACTCTTGTGGAGTATCAAGCCAAGGTTGCCAAGAAATTAAAACGCAAGTCTTATCCCATCTTCTGCAGGCCAAGTCCCAAGCAAGATCAGTGATATCATATTTTAAAGGCTATAATTATGGTCTTTTGTACTTCTTGTTTTCGATTTCTTGAAATGGATCGTGGTTCAAAATATTCCATAATGATTTGTGATGTCAACCTAGTTAAGGATTTGATAAAGAGTACAAATCTCATTCCAAAATCATTTTTTTAGCTCTATCAATAGTTCTCCTTTTAACCATATACAAGGGGAGTATTTTTAGGCAGATATGCAAAACATGGGAAATGATAACAGCCAATGTAGAGGCTTGATAGCAGAGCTACAGTAATATATATATATATATATATATATATATATATATATATATATATATATATATATATATATATATTTCTAACATCAAAAGTCTGATCTATTACTCAAGCTTGAGGTGGTTTAGGAAGTTAGACCGGAACTGAACAACCAACATATAAAAGATCACGATAAAAAGATAGAGCAGACTTATCTAAAGAATCAGAAACAACATTCTGTGTCTTAGGAACATAGAAGATCTTAAAATCAGGGAAGCATATCCGCAGCGTCATGAGTTTTCCAGTTTTGTCGAGAAGCTTGGCCAGTCATGTGGATTCCTAAGCATCACTATCATCTCCTTGCAGTCTGTCCCAAAGCTCTGACATGGCGAATGTTGAAGCATATTCTCCATTGCCCACCGCAGCGCTTCAGCTCAGAGTGCAAAGCATACTCCACCCTACTAAAGTTACGCATCCCCATTAACTGAATATTTCCCATACTATCATTCCAAACCAAACCACATCCACTGAACTGACCTGTAGAGGTCCAAGAACCGTCTACCATACAAATATTTCCCAGACTTATGGTCTGGCTGTTAACATTTATATTTCCTTGGGGTGGTGGAATAATCTGCTCGTTTGCTTGGAACCAGGCTTGACATTCACTCTCTCCATAGCGGGCTAACTCCAAAAGATCTCTATCAATTCCTATAAAAAGCTTATCGTTTCGAGCCTTCCGAATATACCATATTAGACAGGGATAAGGATCCCTGTCCAATTCCAATTCTATTATTGCATTTTTCCTCCAGAAGAGATAGTCCATATTCACATATGTGCTCTCTAGTGGGAACAAAGTATGGCTGGTAGGCATTGATGGTAGAGCCCAAACTTGCATCGCAGGTGGACACTGAAATATTGCATGTGTAACTGATTCATCTGGTTCCCCACATCGTGGACAATGATTATCACATCTCATATGTCTATGGTTTAAAGTACTTGTAACAGCCACATGACCTGTTATTATTTGCCACATAAGATGGCACATCTTCTGAGGTGCCTTTACCTTCCAAGCATGAGCTTGGAGCTTTGTGATACTAGGTTCACAAACTACATCTTCCTCCTCCTTCATCAATATGTTCCTTGCAACCCAATACCCAGATTTGACTGTGTACTGTCCATTTCTTTTATAGCTCCAACAATACGTATCCCTGCGATGTGTTGAACTAATGGCCATACTCCTTATGAGTGGTATGTTAGTGATATACCATGGATTTTACCCATTATTAGCCATGGTATATAAGTGTTTTAAGATATATTTATTATGTTTTGGAGTCTTTTTAGAGTATTTACAGGTTCATGTACATTCTGGAGAAATATAGTGATTTTGGTGTCTGTTGGAGCCCTTTGAGTGCATGACTGCACAGACGCGTCAGATTTTTAGCTATGGATGGAGACCTTCCCACCGTTAGATTTTGCCCATATATATTTTGACACAAGATAGAGATTTGAGTTAGCTTTCCAATTCCATTGGTTTTAGTTCAATCATCATTCTGTAGCAGAAGTAATGCCCATTTTACTGAAGAGTGGTCAATCTGCCTCGCGAGAGGAAGCTGTCGAGAAGATAAAGAAGAATCGATCGATGCAACACACTTGGTGTCAATCGATGGAGATCACATAAAGCGGATCGAGTATATTTCATGACCAACTTAAGCCCAGAAGAATCCTAAATTACCAGAATGCCCTTGGACGACCAGAAACCCTATTTATGTTATTTGCAAGCCATTATTGACGGCTACGCTCTTTTTGTTTCATTGTTCTTAGTTCGATGAGAGAAGGGAGGAACTACATAAGAGTCCTCCTGAAACTCCTTTGTTTCTTTGATTCTTTGTTTGATTTTTATATTTTATATCTATTCTATACTACATCTTTTCTTGCTATGAATTCTGTGACAAACTTCATGCTAGAGTAGATCCACCTGTTAGGTTTAGGGTTTAAATAGATTAAAGGGATTAGCCCCAACTATAGGATTTCCAGTTACTCATTAGTAGGATGTTCCTAACACTCATGGTTCTAGAGTTGCTAACTAGAAACATTGAATCCCGGATTACTTAGGTTGGATTAGAGACATTTAAGCAATTCTGATAGTCCTGAACACATTCCTATTAAACTAGGATTGCTAGAAATACAACAACAGTTTGATCTAGGAATCTTTAGTGAGTCTATGTTAACTCATGCATAACGCTTGACCGGACTCATCGATCGATCTTCTGACCAGAAATCGGTCGATGATGAGTATAGTGTATCGATCGATATTCCCATAGAATAATCGATCCCATAGAATAATCGATCGCCACTGTCAATTGCGACCTTCTAGTCATTAGACTTATTTATTTGAACATTAGTTGTTAAGATAGTTACTTCTCTATAGTACCTTGTAAACAACTGAATAGCTCCTATAGGATTATAATCCTAATATCTGAATAGAAACCTTAGATCTAGCAACCATCCTTCCATCAAACAACTTCCTGCCAAGCTGAACAGTAGTTTTGTTCATCTTGTTATTTGTTTTATTTACTGCTTGCATTATTTTCTGCTTCATTATTTAGTTACTATTTTATTATTTATTTACCTAGATTATTAATAACTGTTTAGATTTAATTGGTTCCCTAGTTTCTCGTGATTCGATCCCTAAGTACTACAACTGAACCTCTTATTTGAGAGAGTAATTCACTCTTTAGGGTAATTTGAGTGATATCAAATTTGGCGCTGTTGCCGGGGAGCTTTGATCGCCATTAGATCTTATTTAGTTAGATTTAGTCTAGGTTTTACTTTTGGTACAAAAACTGATAAAAAATTTTCTTCTATTCCAGGTACATATCTCACTACCAGAAAGCAATGAAGAGAGGAATTCTGATTCCTTCAAGGAAGGAGCATGCTGATTCATGCACAATCCGTAAACCTATGCGGGAAGGATCGATCGACGCCCAACAAGCAACATCGATCGACATAGCACACCACAGATCGGTCGATACACAATCACACAAATCGATCGACATAGCCCCGCCGGAAGCAGGTAAGTCTTCGCTTACCATACTTGTTAATGAGAAAGTAGTCCAAATAGAGCCAATAGATCCATTAGGCAATTCAATTATCCCAACTAAAGATAAACATGGGACTGAAATCCCTGTGAAATTAAAATCCAGCTTGAATAAAGGTGAAGAAATAAAATTGCCCTTATCAGACTACTTAAACCATGTTCCCCCGAAATCGATCGCACAATTCATTCTGTGTCGACCGATACTAATCTCCCGAAATCGATCGACACATATCATTCTGTGTCGACCGATACTGTTTACCTCGAGTCTGTCTACATTCCCTTGATCGACTCATACACTCCCTCGATCGACACATATCATTCCGTGTCGACTGATACTGTGAACCTCGATTCTGTTTACACTTCCTTGATCGACTCATACACTCCCTCGATCGACACCTTTCATTTCATGTCGATCGACACCTTTCATCTCCCATCGATCGACACCAACTTTTCAACGTCGATTGACACTACTCGCGGAAGGACAGAGAAGGTTGACTTTGAGCTGGAACCGATGTATATCACTCTTATCAGTCAGCGTCCCTTTTATGGCTTTCCTAATGAGAAACCAATGGATCATATCTACATGTTTGAAGAACTAGTATGGGATCTCTTCGATAAATTCCATGAAGACCACCACCTCTGCAAAATCTTCCCATACACTATTTCTGGATAAGCCACTTGTTGGTTCAAGGAATTGCAACCAGAATCCCTCAAGACTTGGATGGACATCATGAGAGTTTTTTTAAAAAAAAATTCTTTATAACACTCCAGAATATCTAAAGATCGTGATGGGGTCAATGACGAGACATATGGTAGAGGATGATGAACAACATGGATTTGGAGGGCCGAGTGGAGTAGAAGAAACCGGTATTGATGAAACGACCTCCAAATCGATCGATACCACAACATTCGAAATGGATCGATACCATGATTCCATCATCGATCGACACTCTTCATCTGATGTCGATCAATACTGTTCATCAAGTCTCAACCAACACCACTTGCGTAGAGGAGAAAGTTGAAGTGCTCATACTTAAGGTCGATGAGAATGGAATGTTAAGAGACAAAGAAGGTCCACCTCGCAACATCTCAGGAGAGTTGATTAATGCACAAGGTGCTGTGATCCCGGATGTGATTGCTGTTGCAGAGATGAATACTATTGAGCTGAACCATCAGTGGTATGACTGGGGAAGTGAGGACCCTTTCCAAGGTCTTCCTCATGAAAATCCTAGAAACCATATCAAAGAACTTGAGGAGCTAGCTTCCGCAAGCGAGCAGAACGAAGTACCTGTAGACCACATTATCTGCAAGATTTTCCCTTACTCTTTATTGAAGATGCATATAGCTGGTTCAATCAGTTGCAGCCAAGATCCTTAACCTTTTGGGAGGACATTAAGACCACCTTCCTCAACAAATTTTTCGATGTAAGTCGCAGTAGCTCATGAAAAAGAGATCAGAGATAAGTCGGACAAGATCTATGCCATGTGGGTGATAAATAGAGAAGATGAGATTACAAGCCACTCTTCCGAGTACGTTTTAGAAATGTGTAATAAGTATCAGAGATCTAGAGAGTTGAGCAGAGTAGAAGATACTGGTATTGGAGACTCGATCTCACTATCGATCGACAACACCAATTCTGAATCGATCGCTAGTGTCACCTCAGAAAC